TTATATGAATCCTATGCATGTGGTGTGATAAATGGAATTAGGCGACACCTCTCCTAGTAGATACAAACAACGTGTAAATTTCTTTTCAATGGCTCCATCACATGACCTAAAAAATTAAGCGTAATTTTCATTATGTTGGATGACTTTTAAGTATGTTAGTGAGAACAAAACATGTTGGTATGTCGGGACTGTCTTCCCTCTTAGAACCGAGGGCTAGGTAACATGAGCATTTTGCAGGAGAATGTCGGAGCCTTCAAATGCTAAGAATCCTAGACATCGAGCTGAAATTTAGTACTCTTTGATTATACGTGACTAGATGGCTCAAATTTGATTGGAAATTATTTACGTATGCAGGTAGAAGCAAACCATTAGGCACAAAAGGCAACTATCTTAAAGGTATGATAAGCGCCTACAATGCTGGAATTTGCAAAGCTAGAGGTCATTCTAGAATCCTTGCAAAACGTTCACAGAGAAAGCTAACTTAACGGATTGATTCCAACCAAGAGCTGGTTAGAAGATGAATGACTCTTAGATCGAACTTGGAATCTATGATGGTCACTCTTAGATACCAAGACAATTCACTCTAGAATTAGCTTGATCAAAACTAATTCAATGAATCGGTTTAAACATCAAACCTAAAGCAAGGTTTGAAAAAGGATTCATAATCTTTGTATTGCTTCTTGTAATTGCTCGTTCGGGTACATGGAAGTGATCAGTTGTTGGATTCATATCAAGGTATTTCATGCAGGACTGCAGATGATTGTAGGGATAATGTGTTTTGTGATTGTAAATTAAACATCTGCTTTTGTCATGGCAAGAAGCATCCCTTCAACTTCAACTCCAACTCTCACAAGATGAGTAAGAACATTCATTTAGAAGACAACAAGGAGATCAAAGAAGTGCCTCTCAACAACTAATCAATATAATGAAGATGATCATAAAGAACTTGATCGATGTGACCCTGGATTTTGATTCTCATAATAAATAAACGATATTTTTATTTAGTACGTGTGCCTCTCAAGGTTTCGGGTCATAGTTTGTCATACGAATACAAGATACACTGACATGCTCATTTCACATGGAGCTATTAAATGCAACAAATTATTCATATAACAACATATCATAAAGAATCATATACATGATAAAGACATCATGAGTCAAAAATCGAGACTCGACTCTATCTCGAACTCTATAGCTCTATAGTTCATACACACTCTGGTCTCGGGTGTGCAGTTAGTTTCTATTTAAAAAGAAAGAGTAGCTGGATATAGTAGTAACCTTTAAAAAATGCTCATTTTTTAAGGACAAGAAAGAGAGAGAAAGAGAGTTATCTAAAAATTATTGTCATAATTATTTATATTATGATTACGATTACGATTATTATATTATGATGAGACGGTTCAGGTGAGATCTATCATGGACATAACATTCAATTCCCTTATGGAATCTAGTCGGTTTGGGGAACATCTTTGCTCCTCTCTTATAGGGAGCATATACATCCCTCATTATTATATTTATGACTATCTCTCAAGCTTTGGTTTAGGTTCCTCAATAGAAAAAAAAAAATAAAATAGAGCATCAAGAACCCAAGCCGGGAGCATGTGTGTGGGCAGTGTGTAGAAAAGTACAATGCATCCAAATCCACCAAAAAATGAAATTAGAGCCAAAGCCAAAACATGATGTTTTATGCCACTAGACATGAAATCATATTTGCATGTGTGCATTTTTCGACCCTAACATTGGGGTCGATTATTTTTCAATATTCATTCTATGATTTTGAAATAATAATAATAATAATTAAAAATACAATTACTCATACCTCTCTCCCATCCAATCTCTCACATCCTGCAAAAGATTGGAGATACAAACAGAAAAAGAAAAACAGGAGATTTATTTGGGGAGAGAAAAAGGAAATCCCTCATACAATCATTTAACAGACAAAAGAGATAAAAATTTATTGGTAAGATCTTCTTTTTCTTTTAAATTAGCCAAACTTAATTGTGAATAGAATTAATGAAAAATGTGTTTAAATGAAATATATATTTGATGTTGACATGACCCGTGGTTTTGCACATGTCATATATATATCGATATGTGTTAATTATTTGTGGATCGATATGCTTATGATATGTTATGTATATGTTATAATATGTGAATTGTATGATAATACTTATGGTACGATGTGTTCAATGATATGTGTGTGTGTGTTTACGAAATGATATGATTATGATACAAGATGTGAATGACGGATAGATATATATATATAGATGTTGTGATATGATATGAAATATGTTATGGTACAAGAAATGTGATAAATTTACATGTTTATGATATCATATATTGTGATGCGATATATTATGGTATGAGATGTATATGATGAGATGTTATGTTAAAAGCATGAAACATTATGTTATGTCTTTTAAATTGTATGTATACAACATGATATGAATGACATGAAATATAATCTCGTTAGAATTATGTATGATATGAGAAATGATATGATATGATATGAATGATATACGATATGTGAAATGATATTGAAAACGATATGATATGTATGGAACGCTAGCGGGATTGTATTAAATGATAATGAAATGAAAAAATATTGGGACTTCATGCATTGGGGGATACCCCTATTCCATCACGAGGGTACGGACACATGCACCACTAGGCAGATGAAGTATTATTATGTTTTATATAATGCTGCCATGATGGTTACTAATTCTAATGGGTGTCCAGCATAAGGATCTACCAGAGTAGGCTTGCCCGACAAGAAAAAGGGTCCAGTGGTGTACGAACTGTCTAATGAGCTTGTACTTGCACGTATGGGCTGTGTGTAGAGTATATGGCACACATCTAAGCTGCCCATTAGTATAGTATCGTGGGAAAAAAGACTGATATGATAGGTCCCGTCATTGCATTCGCATGTTTCTTGCATTTAACCCCAATAGTGGGGTCACTTCCTGAGTATTTCTCAAAATACTCAAGCCACGTGTTACCTCTATTTTAGGTTAAGGCAAGACATTTCTGTACCGACGACATTGCAATTCGAGACTATGGCACTTGCATAGGGTAGTTGTGTTATTTTCTTAGACTTAGGCTAGAATAGGATGCTTTTGATTTAAACGTTTATTTATTTTTTTTATTATGTCGTCTTATGAACGTTTAAACTGCATTCAATGTTCATTAATATATTTAGGACCTTAAATAAATTCATTGGTTGATTTGTACATTAGTTTTTGTTTTTGTTTTTTTTTTTTTTT